AATGGTTTGCCATTTCCTTCTCCAGTGTATTGAGGCAAGCAGATGTTAAGTGACTCACCCAGGGTCACACAGCTAGTAAGTTTCCGAGACCAGATTTGGATTCCATTTTTCCTGACTTCAGGCCTAGTGCTCTATCCACTGAACCATCTAGTTGCCTCTTTCTTGCCCATGGCAGGCACTTAATAAATACTTGTTAATTTGGATCTAGTCCCTGTGGAGGAGTGGAGAAAGTGTTGATTTTCTAGAGACCAGCAGACCATATTGTGTTATAATGTTCTTGGGAGAAGGTAAGATTTTTCCAGAGCAAGGCAATGCCTATGTAAAGATGTTCTTTGGAATGGAGTCTGGAAATAATCAATGCTTAGGAGAATGGAGATGACTATTCTTCAAGTGTAGACTGGGAATTTAGGGCTAGTATCACTAGCATAATTTCAGTTGAGTGTAAATTCGTTGGAGAGATAGGGGTAGGCAGGGGGCAAGAGTTTCTATGTAGGTTTAATCTTTGTATCTGAAGGCCTTAGCACCATGTCTAGCATCTAATAGGAATTCATTAATTTCTATGTGTACCTGTTGTCTCTGCATAAAATGCAATCTCCTTGAGGGCGGGTACGGTTTCATTTGTGAAACTATACCCTCAGCACCCAGCTCAATTCCTGGCTCATATTAAGGATTTAATAAATGCTTGTCAGGGGCAGCTAGGGGGGCAGTGGATAGAGCACCAGCCCTGAAGTCAGGAGGACCTGAGTTCAAATCCAGCCTCAGACCAAACACTTCACACTTACTAGCTGTGTGACCCTGGGCAAGTCACTTAACCCCAATTGCCTAAAAAAAAAATGCTTGTCAACTGATTGATTGAATGACTAAATGCTTGTTGAACAGAATTGAACGGGCGGTGCTAGAATGGATGCTACCTAAAGTTTTGACCACCTTCATGGATGAAAAACGAGGAGGCTCCAATGACAGAAAGAGTCTAGGGAAGCCAGCACCAGTTTATGATTTTGGGAAGTTCAAATTCTCCAGAAAACTCCAGAGAAGACACACTGCCATACAAATCAGCCTGAAGAACTCTTCATTGTTGCCAGACCTCAGACAGAAATCTTACTTCTCTTCAGGAAAACACTAGCTTCATCTGCTCAAGTCTCTTTATTTTTCATGGGGTCTATGTAGCTCTGGGAGGACTGACAGTTAGAAGGCTCCTTGGAGACCATTTACTCCGACTTTTTCATTTACAGAGGATAAAACTGAGGGCCAGCTAGGTGGAGCAATGGATAGAGCACCGGCCCTGGATTCAGGAGGACCTGAGTTTAAATCTGGCCTCAGACACATAACACTTAGTAGCTGTGTGACCCTGGGTGAGTCACTTAACCCCCATTGCTCAACCTCTGCCCCCCCCAAAAGGATAAAACTGAGAGCCACAGGGGAAGAGGCTTTCCTAGGGTCATATAACTAGTAAGATTTGAACCCAGGACTCATGGACACCTTGCTGCTTTCCTCCATGGTGATTCCTCTATAATTCCCAATTTCCTTTAGGGGAAAAAAACCACCAAATGGGTTCTACTACTAATAATTATTATAAATAATAATTGTCATTATTATTATTATTATTATTGTTGTTGTTGTTGTTATTAATATTATTACAGCTAGCATTTATATAGTGCCTGTTATATGCCAGGCACTGTGCTAAGCAGTTTACAGGGAACTTTCCCTGGAGAAGCCCAAAGTACTTCTGGGACAGGAGTTAATGAATATTTACAAATTCTGGATATAATCAGAGATCTTATGCACCATGAGAGAGAAGTCAGCAAGGAGGATTTTGGATCTTCTGGCCAGTGCTGGCTTACCTGGTTCTGCCTCTAACTTCATACTCTTGGGCATACCATCTTACTATCTCCAGATGCCAATAAGGTTCCTGCCACAGGCTGTTCATCTTTGGCTCCGGGCCGTCCATCCACTGCCCTGTGGACACTCACCAGGGGCAGAGCACTAACCTCCTAGTCAGCACTCCTGCTCTCTTTGTACTAAGCCTACAGGTCACTGAACAAAGACAATGAAATCAAGATTCCAAGGATGAGTTTGATCGGCCCTGTCAGCCACGAGGTAGAGATTCAATTCCTTTGGACCGCATGCCTCCAACTTGGACTAGACATCCACAGAGACCCTTCTTTGGATATACATAACCCCACAGAGCTTAACAATATCTTAGTTTTCTAGACAAGTAAGCAATATCAACAATTTCTGAACTGAATTTGTAACTGTTGTTATTTTTTAAAACAAAGAACTAAGAGAGGGAAGGTTCAAAATTATCTAAGTAGCCTTCACATGCTTCTTCCGTGTCCTGGGTAAAATACCATATGGCCACGCACTGAGAAATCCTAAGTATTTCTGTCTGCCTTGTTCCGTGCTGCCCCAGTCATGGGAAGGGAGCCAGTCTGTCTCAGCACAAGGTAAAAGAACTTGGAACCTATTGGGGACCAAGGGCAGCAATCATGCCCTGTATGCACAGAGGGTCAGGATAGCCTCTTCATTCAACACATTAATATTCTGCGTCACATTCACCATCATTCTATTAATTGTCCCCTGTGATGCACAAGTCTCCCCAGAACCAGAAAAGAAAGAGATAGCAATGGATTTCGGCAAGCCTGAGAGATATGTTGAGGTGAGGGGTGGGGATCTTTTCAAGAGGATTTGTCACAAAGCGTAAATCCCAACTTCATTGGGAATGCCAGTTTTAAAATGTCTACTCTGCTAACCACTTATACACACACTCATACAAAATAACACTATATAAGTAAATCATACACATACATATACACATATACTTTATGTATATTAGGTATATACATACAGATATCATATAATCATATGCCATGAAAAGCACACAATACTTCATATGTACCATACACACATGCATACCACCTACACTTCTGTAACCAAACCCACACCATATACATGAACATGTACCATATACACACTGAACATGACAAATATCACACACATACATATACCACACCCTAATATACATCAGTCCCCCATGCCACATACACACCCATGTATATGCAACATAAACATGAATATACACACTAAAATATAACCATAAATAGATACACACCTCACATATGTTCATTTGTCACACATAGATATGCAAATCAACTTTCACATAGCACATACCCATATATATACTACTGGCACGAATGCATATAAACAATGCTATGCACACATACATAATATAATACATACCCAACACAGAGATATAATTTAAACATACAGACATACCATGTACACCCAACCTCCTCCCATACGCGCATACCCCACATGCATGAATACATATACACAATGCTACATACGCACCTCACATGGACACATGCTATATATACACAACATACATACGTAACTCAAAGATATAGACAAACCATGTACACCCAACCAACTCCCCCCACACACCCACTCACACCACACACCCGATACACATAAATCACTAGTGATGGTAGAGATGGGGAAAAAAAAAACTTTCCAGGTATCAGACATAAGAAAGAAAGTTCTTGCAAGTGCTAGCTGTCCTGGTTCTCACATGATACTATCTCCTATCTTACCTCTCATTGTAAAAGGTTTCTCTTGCCTCTTTTTCTTTCTACTACTTTCTCTGCTCTTTGATAATTCTTCTTCTCTGGGAGTAGTGATTTTCCCCTCCCTCAGTGGCAGCCTCTCCATCAGTCACTGCCACCCCTACCCCAATCCCTCCATGACTGCCAGGATGCTGGGATGGAGATGTGCTGGAGGTCAATAGAATTACTCCAGGGTCTTAACACCTGCTTTTAACTGTTCTTGAGAAATTACTGCTTCCCCCCTCCCTGATCGCAAGGTGTGACAAGGCAGAGCGATGAAGGATTCCCCAGAGCTGGCCCTCATCTTTCTCTCCTGGCTTCTCCTCCCCCCTTGCCTGACTCTCCCAGCTTGGATTTAATTCTTTCAGAAAAGACACCATCTCCGAACGGCCTTTTCTGTACGTTTGCTGACTCTCTTCATGGCATGGCTGCTTTTGGAATCCCGTGGCGACAATCAAACCGCTTTGGAGATGGCACCAAACAGACCACCCCTCAGCTCGCTCAGACCCAACCAAACAACTTACTTCAAAGCCTGGTCAGGCATGGAGAGCTTGCCGTTCCCCTCCCCAGCCCGCCCCTCCCAGGGCAGTTTGCATTTCCAGGTGAAACTGAGCAGTGCATTCTGATCACACGCTGACTCTTTGGCCAACAGCCCACGCACCCACGCCTGGGGAACATCTGTCTTGACAGACGAATCATTCAGCTTGCTCTCTGAGGGACGTTCTGCACGGAATGAGTCTTCTGCTCGATATCTTTTAAATCGGAATGGGCCTGGAATGATACCGTCTACCTTTTTCACTGCCCTGGACCACGGACCCCAGCAGGATTGATGTGGCTGCCACTTGGGTGCTAACCTCGGAAGCCTTTTGGAATTCTCTTCCAACCTCAAAGGGGGGATGGGGTGAGGGAAGAAACTATCATCCAGGATGGTGACTAACTTTGCCCAGAGGAGAAAAGAAATAGGAAAGAGAAAGCAATACAGACCAAACCAGACAGACCGCCATCACCGAAGCCAACCCTTGAGAAACCTGTCAGCCCTCTCCCAGGAAAGCAGCAAGACCTGACGCAAAAGAAACAAAACAAAACAAAACAAACAGCAGTCCAAGGGTAATGGGCCAAAGCCCGTTTTAATTCCTTTAGGCATCCCCTCTGTCCCACACCCCGCAGCTAGCCAGCCAGCCAGTCCATCCCTCCTTTTGGACAGCTACCTGAAACGCACACTGAAGGACACTTGCAAAGGACTGCAGGCTAAACTTTGTCTTTCTGGCCTGAGAGTCCCAGCCCCGAGAATATGGCTCTCCTCACCGCAGCCTTTTCTTTTCCCCTTCTTCTGGTGTGCTAGAAGGTGATGGAAGATGGTCGAAGCTATTTTTAGGAGGAAAAGAAATCTCAGCATACCTTGGAATCGAGTGCTTCCCAGGCTCTCCAGCGGCCGGCTGCTGAGACAACTGCAGTCTACTGTGTCAGATTACAAACTGGGGGGAGAGAGAGGGAGAGAGGAAGGGAGGGGTGGCAAGAGGGCAGAGGCAGCGTCAGGCGGTGGAGGCAGCAGCGGCAGTAACCCCTAGCAGCCCCACATTGGTGTGCATGCTGTGCCTGGATGAAGGTAGAAATGATTCATTAGCTGTCTGCAGGCAAGAAGAGAGAGAGAGAGAGAGAGAGAGAGAGAGAGAGAGAGGAGAGAGAGAGAGAGAGAGAGAGAGAGAGAGAGAGAGAGAGAGATCATAAGGCATGCAGCAGGCAGCTAAGCCTATGAGATGGCAGTGTTCAGACACTCGCAGACACACGAGGACAGGGACACGCACGCACACACACACACACATGCATACATACACATACGCATGCACACACGCGCGCACGCACATACACACATACACATACGCACACAAAGATGGCTATCCCCATCTCCCCCACTCTCTTTTCACGTAGATTAGTCCTGATAAGAAGACCAGGACTTTGGACAGGGACATAAAAGAGCAGGGCAGCTCTTAGCCATCACAGGGTCTGGAGGGGTTTTTTTTTGGCGGGGAGAAGGGTGTGGGAAGGGGGATATAACTATTGGACTTATGTGTAATAACATCCCAGGATCTTCCCCCACAGGGGACTGAGAATGTACCGCAAAGAGTCAGTCTACAGCCAGTGTTGAGATACTATTCTGCTCCCCCCATCCCCCCACCCCCTCACTGCCCCAGTCCATACAATAGAAAGACGAAATACTCAAACGCCCTAGGAATTAAGAGATTACTTGGATCATCCCAAGCTGTCACTGTCCTCACTCTCTCACTCCCCCTCCCTCTACCCCTTGCTATATAATCAAACTATATGTGCGTATACATAAAGTTCATATGTGTATACATAAGGTCATATTATATATACATGTACATATATATGTATGTGCATACATATATATATGGAGAGACAGACAAACACATAAACAGACACACATGTCTACCACCCCCAAAAGTTCAGGTTCTGGTCCCAGCTCTCCAGCAGCAGGGAAAAACATAGCTTGTGGAATGGTTTAAGAAAAATCCCAAATAGTGAAGCACACGTGAGCAGGACCCCTCCCTTCCTTTCCTAGCAGTACAATGCCTTTAGCTGTTATTTAAAGATATACATGTAACTAATCTGAGAGATGGCCACAGGAGAAGCCTCAGAGTGCTTAGATGCCCTGGCTGGGGCTCCAAGTGAGACTATTAAAAAGTAATTGCCTATATGATAACACGGAGGTGGGTTAAGTGAAGTCTTCGGTTATCTGCCAGGACTTGGGGGTGGGAGAAGAGGGAATGCAACTCCACGGGGCTCTCCTGTTTCTTCTCTGTCTTATTCTGGACACTTGGGAAAATACAATGAGCTTGGTGGTGAAACACGACCCAAGAGCTACCGACCACACCTGTCTGGCTATCATTGCATCAATGTTTACCCTCAATTAGCTGGTATAAACTAAAAGATAAAGATGAGAAAGGAAATTCTCTCCAAACACAGCTCATCCATCATCCTGGCACTGAACTTGAAAGAGAACCCCACATGCCGAGACTCACTCTTCACCCCCAGAAAGCAGGCAGGCAGTCTGGGAGTGAAGACAAGCCTGGGGAGTGTTGCAGGTGCTGTCACAGGGTACTTGTCCTCTAAGGCTTAATCTAGAAAGGATATTAGAGCTCATCTCCTCTCAGCCCTTCATTTGACAGATAAGAAAATTGAGGCTCAGAGAGTTTGAATGATTTACCAATGCCTTATAAGAAGGTAAGCAACAAAGTTGGAGCAAGAGGCTGGGGTGGACTTCCACCTCAGGATTCTTCACCTGATAGCATACAGATGAGGTGGTGGTTGTCGTTGTCATTGTTGTTGTCGTTGTCATTGTTTGTCCTTCATTCTCAAAGAAGAGCATGACATCAGAAAGGTGATGCCATGACTTGCACATGAATTGGATTTAAGTGAGAGAGGGCTGTGCAATGTCACCAGCCTCACTTTCTCCTCTGGAGCCAACTGAGTCCAGCGGCGAGATATAGATCGGGACGACTAGAAATGGTCCCCATACAGTTGAGGAAACCGAGACCCCAGGAGGATAAATGACTTACTCAACATTCCACATTGAGCCAATTAGTAGAGAGCAGGACTGGGATGAGGATCTGACTTCCTAATCCAATACTCAGTAAATTAGAGGTGAAAGGGGCTGCAGAGGGCATCTAGTCCAACCCATACCTGACCAAAATTCCCCTCTACCCATCATCCTCTCTGAATTATTTTCATAGGCTCATGAGCTGGAAAGGAACTCAGAGGTCACCTAGTCCAACCCATATCTATACTCCAGAATCCCCTCCACTGGGACATCTCTGATAGATGATTCCCCAGGTTCTTCCCCAGGATGTCCATTGAGGTGGAGCCAACTGCTTCCCAAGGGACTCTGTCCACTTATGGACACTTCTAATTGCTAGAAGGGCTTTTTTTTACTTTGAACCTATATTTATAACTTCCACCCATTGTTCCTAATTCTGCCCTCTGGGACCAAGAAGATCTTATCACATGACAATCCTTCTCATATTTGAGAACTGCAGCCATGGCCTCCCTAAGCCTTTCTTTTTTATTTTTAATAAATATTTTTATGTAATATTTCTATTCAAAATTTTATTTAAAACTATTTTAATAACAAGTTTAATAATTTTAAATAATAAATATATTATATTTGCAATAGATGTGGTTAATAAATATATTATTATAAGTAATCGTAGCTATCACTTACAGAGGGCTTTAAGGTTTATAAAGCATTTTACACATCATCTTATTTGATCTTCACAACAACCCCTTGAGGGAGGTGCTATCATTATCCCTATTTTTCAGATGAGGAAAGTAGGCTGAGAGAAGTTAAATGACTTGCCAAGGGTAACAGAGCTAGTAAGCATCTAAAACAGAATTTGAGTTCAGTTCTTTTTGGCTATAAATCCAGAGCTTTATTCACTGCACCACCTAATTGTCTTTGTTCAATTGATTTCCATCAAGCATTATCTCAATTATTTTTCATCCTGTTTGTCATCATCTGATCACTCTCCAGCTTATCAATGTCCTTCCTTAAGGATGGTGCCCAGAATTGAATGCAATCCTGGGTTCTGACCAGGCAGAATACACTGATGCCATCACCTCCCCAGTCCTGAATATGAGGCTTCTCTTAATGGTGTCAAGGATGGTTGTCACATTGCATTACTGAATCATCTTGACCTTGGGATTCAATAAAGTCCCAGATCTTTTCCATTCATACTACTGCCTTACCTAGTCAAACTTTCCCTGTCCTCTATTTGTGAAGTTTCATGTTTTTGGGCCAAAGTTAAGGATTATAAGTGTATCTCATTTGATTTGTTCTTATTATATTTAACCCAACATTCTAGCCTGTTAAGGTTATTTTGGAACCTTACTCTGTTACTCTGAACCTTTTATAGCTCTTCCTACAAACTCTGAGTCATCTGAAAATTTGATAATCATTCAATATATACCTTGATCCAAGTTACCAGGGGGAAAAAAGTTTAAATAGCACAGGGTAAAGTACAGATCTTTGGGTTACTCCATTAGACAACATCTAAGTTGACATCAAATTATTTAGGGATGCATTCATCAGTTCAATCTTTTTCAGTTGTGTCAGACTCTTCGTGACCCCATTCATGATTTTCTTGGCAAAGATACTGGAGTGGTTTGCCATTTTCTTCTCCAGCTCATTTTACAGATGAGAGAACTGAGGCAAACAGAGTTAAGTTACTTGCCCAGGATCACATAGCTAATAAATGTTTGAGGCCAGATTTGAACTTGGAAAGATGAATCTTCCTGACTCCAAGACCCACACTGTATCCTGCACTACCTAGCAGCCACGTACATGGTCTATCTGTCTATCTATCTATCTATCTACCTATCTATCTATCTATCTATCTATCTATCTATCTATCTATCTATCTATCTGTCTGTCTATTTATCATCTTTCTCCCTATCCAGATAATAGCACATATATCTATCCCATATATACAAAAGTATATTTTGCTGAGCCAATGTCAATGGTCTTTGAGGGATCATTAAGACTGAGAGAGGAGCAATAGGGCTGGAGTACTACACGTGTCTTGATTTCAGAAAAGAATAGAGTCATCAAACCATGGGCCAGTAAGCTTAGCTTCAATTTCTTGCTAAATTCTATATTATATTATTAAAAGGATGGTTACTGAATATTTAGAAAAGGAAGTGACGAACACCAAGAGCTGTTCATCAATAGCGATTCATACCAGACCAACCTCATTTCCATTTTTCACAGTGCTACTGTCAAAAGTATTATTGAGATATGTGTGTGTATATATGCATTATGTGTACACACACACACACACACACACGTATATAATATAAACATTTCCATATATCCTATGTGTGTGTAGGGGGAAAGAGAGAGGGAGAGAGAGAGAGACAGATAGAGACAGAGATAGGGAGAGAGAGATAAGGAGAAAGACGTGTGTGTGTATATGTACATATACATATACATATACATATATATACCTATACATATATATATACATATACATATACATATATACATATACATATATATGTGTGTGTGTGTATATATATATATATACACAGAGAGAGAGAGAGAGAGAGAGAGAGAGTGGGGTATAGTGAAAAGAGCGCTAGCTCTGGAATTAGAAAACCTTCAAATTTCACCTCTAATTATTACTAGCTGTATGACCTTGGGCAAATCACTTCACCTCCCCAGGCCTCAGTTTCTTCTTTTATAAAATGAAAGGTTGCACAAGATGGTCCAGGAGGTCCCTTTCAGCTCCAAATCTAGCATCCTCTGATCCTAAGACTACTTTTTGATTCCTAATATTCAACCACTTCTAAATCCACCACACTGCACTACCATTTAGTCCACATGTCACTATGATCTCCACAAAAGTCTCACAAAAGACTTTGTTAAAAAAAAATCTGGGTAAATTAATTCAAGCCATTCCCCTGAATTATCACAGTAGCACTGTCAAAAATGGAAATGAGGTTGGTCTGGTATGAATCGCTATTGATGAACAGCTCTTGGTGTTCGTCACTTCCTTTTCTAAATATTCAGTAACCATCCTTTTAATAATATAATATAGAATTTAGCAAG